TCAATTGGTATCAAAAATAGGATTTTAGAACTCAAAAATAGCATTTTCAAACAAATTTTCTGACCAGAGTTTCGGAGGATCGATCCAGCCCTCTAGATCGATCGAACTAGAAGAAAAACTCCCAGATGATCGATCCAATGAAGGGGATCGATCCACTCTACTGTTCATTCGTCTTCAACCTCGGTCCATTTTTTGGGAAAACCATTTTTAGTTACCGAACTTCAACGAAACTATATAGAGATGTTCCCTAAGGTTCATAGATCATTTTGGCATTATTAATTCATAGTTTTAACATCAATTTCATGGTTTATGATTCTTGGTTCTTCAAACATGTCAAACACAAAACTCAATCAAACGACCGTTTATGAACGTAGAAACGACCTATATGAACATTCTAGTCATTAGATATATCTACGGGCTTACCTTGAAGCGTAAGGAAGGTTTTGACGATTTTCCGGCGAAACTTCCGGCGACTCTATCTCACTGCTCCGGCGACCTCACACAAAGATGACAGCACCACTGCGTTCTACACACTCAAAGCTAACTCTCAGAAGTGATTTGGGAAGAAATGGTGAATAATTGGGTAGGAAGAGGTGGTCCTTATATAGCCTTAGTGAAGAGGAAGCAGACACGGTGATGACCTCCATTTTACTGTTTCGGCGGCTGAGTGGAGTGGGCTGCTATCTTCTCCGATTCTAAACGTAAGTCCCTGATTGGGACTAAATTGGTCCCAGTCGGGGAACACTTTTTGGTCCAACTTTCAACGAATTGAAATCCGATTGAACCGTTGGAGTCAGACAGTCAAATTCTACATAATGATATAATTTTTATCAATTATTGACAAACTTTAGAATTTACTTATTTTTGGGTCCTTCTCAGTAATTAATTATCAATTAATTAATTCTGATAGGCCTATTTTCGGGGCGTTACAAAGCTGGTGACAAACAATGCAAGAGGAAGTGATTTCATTGTAACCCTTTTGATTTGTATTAGGTTTGTTTACTAAATACTTGATGCCATTGGTTCTTTATATTTATATTTCAGGGAATAGGCTTTGATATTGTTGGTTTTCTTTTGGGGGTTTCATTTGGGCTACTGTTTTGGCTTAGCCCACCCCCTCCTCTTGTACTCTTGTTTTTTTAATTCAAATAAGACGGAGCTTTCCTGGGCTCTGTCACACCTTTCAGGTTTAAAATATATATATATATGGGATTGACTCTAGTGAGATGACACCTTGTGGTCAGATGACATGCTTCAGTCAGATGACGCTGGAGCTCACCACTGATCACTGCAAAGCTCACCACTGATCACTGCAAAACTCACCACTGTCCACTGCAAAGCTCACCATGATTTTCCAACACTTTACTTTTTTTAAAAAATTTGATGGTTAAATGCTTACAAAGCCCATCAACAAAGCTCACTGACTCTCATTGCAAAGCTCACCACACTTTAAAGTTTAAAATGATTTCAAAAAAAAACAAAGGGCGGTGGTGCTAACTTCCAACTGCTGCAGACTACCACCGTGGACCGGTGGTTGACTGGTGGTTCAATTTTATTAGCTTTAAAAAAAAAGTGGTGAGCTTTGCATTGTTCCTTGGTGAACTTTCCATTGTTAGTTGGTAAGCTTTACATTAACAGTTGGTGAGCTTTACACTTTGACCGCCCATGACCAATGGCCACCACCGATGACCCCCATTGTCGTCGTGGACCAGTGGTTGGGCGGTGGTTCACTGGTGGTTGAATGGTAGTGCTATTTTTTAAACTTTTTTTACTTAAAAAAAGTGGTGAGCTTTGCATCGACAGTTGGTGAGCTTTGCATTGGTAGTTGGTGAGCTTTCCATTGGCAATGTTGTGTGTTGTGTCATCTGATTGAAGCATGTCATCTTACAATAATGTGTCATCTCACTTGAGTCAATCCCTATACACACACACACACACACACATATATATATATGTATGTATGTATGTATGTATGTATGTATGTACACATACATACACATATAAGGGATTGACTCCAGTCAGATGACACCGTACAGTGAGATGACATGTTTCAATAAGATGACGCCAAGCTCACCACATTATACTACAAAGCTCATCAATGGGCGATAGAAATCTCACCTGGAAATAAAGCAAAGCACACCACTTTGAAACCAAAAACTCATCTTTTTTAAATTTTGAAAATTAAAAAATTAATTAAAAATAAAATAGCAACACCAGTCAACCACTAGTTAGCAGCGGCATCCGGAGGCCGGCGGTGGCAATCGGCTGCAGGCAGTGGCAGGCGATGGTCAATGGTGGCAGCCAACGGTCAAAATCTAGTAAGCACCCCTTCCTTTGATTTTATTTTTATAAAAGAAATTCAAAGTGTTGAAAAAATATGGTGAGCTTTGCCTTACGGTTTGGTGAGCTTTGTAGTTGTACTTGGTAAGCTTTGCAGTGTCTAGTGGTGATCTTTGCGTCATCTGACCGTAACATGTCATCTCACCGTATGGTTGATCCCTATGTGTGTGTGTGTGTGTATGTTTGTATGTGTATATATATGTGTGTGTGTGTGTGTGTGTGTATGTCAGCTTTGCGTCATCTGACTCGATCCTTCACCCTGGATCGATCTCCCGTGCCTTTGACAGAAATACTTTTTCGAATGTTAACTCCAGGTGATCGATCCTTTGGTCTTGATCGATCCCCAACATTTATTTCTGTCAAAATAAGCTCTTCCTTACCTCTAACGGATTTATTTCTTTTAACCTTATAAAATCCCTCATCCTCCTTCATCAAAGACACATCTCTTGCACTCCAATCCTTCATTATTTAATACTCAATTCTTGCTTCCATCTTCCTCATCAAATATATTATTTTGAGAGTTAGAAATATTTTTATTGAGTGCAAAACATATTGTCATCCATAGAGCTTTCATATTTCAACACTTCTTGCTCCATTGTGTGAGCTTTCATTTCTGTGTTGTAAACTCAATCTTGTTTGAATGTTGCAAATACTTGTGTGATTCAAGTCTCGTTGGTTATTGTTAAGACTTGTGTGACTCAAGTCTTGTTGTAAGAAGTTGAGGCTTGTGTGATTCAAGTTCTCGATTTGTATCGATTTTTCAAGCACCCGTTAAAGCTTGAAGATTAGTAGAACCTTTGAGAGAATCTCTCGGAGGACTGGACTAGCCACGAGGTGGTGAACCACTATAAATCACGGTGTACTTCTTTCCCTTGCTCTTTACATTTTTCCTGCGATTTTTCTTTTATTATCACACACGCGATTAACGCACATTCTAGCGAACAACTCTATTAACCCCCCCCCCTCTAGAGTTGCACTTTTGTCTAATAAACATTATGGGCCCCCCTCCTGGCCTGCTTTTTCTAGTGCTTTGTGGATACCGCCTCGAATACATGCTCCTGACCCAGTTCTTCCACTGCGCGGTAGAGTCTCCTCCTTCAAAACCACCCACGATCATCCAAATATGTTCTTACTCAGTCGATGGCCTCCAACCCTTGTTCCTATCTTCTTTTCTCCTTCTGTCATGGTCATCTTTTCTCCCATCGAGCGTGACCCATTGGTGGTTCTTCTCTTGCGCCTTGCACAAATACTCCTCGTTGTCAGTCATCAGCCCGATCGCGCCCTTGACGCTTTTGCAGTAGGAGGTGTTATGGGAGTTCGTCTTATGGTACGAATAGTATTTGTCCGACCAAGCACGGGTCTGACCTTCACCCTTTCCGGATCTCACTGCACTTCCCTACATTCTTCTGCCTTAACTTCATGTACGACCGGGTCATACTGGTGCTTGGGCTAACTTTGCTTGCCTGAGTACCTCCTCCTTCTTGATTTGGATAGGCTTTGCCTTGTGGTGTCCTTTTTCACCTTCCTTCTTCGCCCGGTCTTGGGTTTCGGCTTCAGAGAATTCCCAAGCCGTGTTGTATGTTTCATTGTAAATGATGTGGGGTCTCTTACACAATTTCATGTACAGCTCCCCGGCCCGGAAGACGCTCAACAGAAGCGACAGCGCCGCCTTGTTGTCCATCTCCTTACCTTGTCCACTTCGTCCTTCCATCTTGTCAAAAATTGGATGAGATTCTTCGATTCCATCTACTCGGTGGTGCTGAGCTAGGTGAACTTCTTCCTCTTGGTGCAGTTTTTTTGGAACTTGGCCTTGAACTTGGCAACCGAAAGAGTCGATCTCACCCAGTGGGAGCTTGTTGAACCACTCAGCACCTCGACCACGCAGTGAATGGAAAAAGAGGAGGCATTCTTCCTCGTTGGTGCACCCCATCATCATGGAACATTGATGAAAAGAGTTGAGATCTACTTTGAGGTACTTCTTACTCGTGAACTTTGGTATCTCCATCTTTGCCTTTCAGGGGAAAGACGTAAGTTGGACCCTAGCGGTGAATGGCGAGTCCGCCATTTGTTGCTTGTCTTTGTCGTTTTTCTCTTCTACCTTCCTCTCCAGCTATTCCAGCTTCGCCTCCACCTGCTAGACCCGATCAGGGGGATTCCCAAGCCTGCTTAGGGGTGGACAAAGTACCGGTACGGTACCGTGACCGGCAACGGTACCGCCGGTACCCGCCACCGTAACGCTGGCCGGGACGGTATCACCGGTTCCGGTACCGCCCCACTCGGTACCGGTTCCTGTGCCCAAATTTCGTTACCGGTACCGGTACCGGTTCCGGTACCGATTTAATTTTTTTTCCTTTGCTTTCTTCCCAACGGAAACCTGCAAAAAAACACAAAAGCTAGTGGGTGGGGGGCACCTCAACGGCTATTTAGCCGTTTGAGGTGGGGGAGGGGAGGGGGGAGTGTAGGGGGGGAGGGGGGGGGGGAACTCTTATAAATTAATCCAAATGTTTTTCAAAAAATTCACACTCAAATTCTCAATCATCTCTCAATCTCTCAATCTCTCAATCTCTCAATCTTATTATTTCTTTTCAATTTTTATACAATTTATATTCATATAATAATATAAATAATAATATAAATATATATTAATATATTACATAATAACCTATAATTAATACACTCATTATTCATATTATCAATTATCATTTATTTTTAGTTTGTTACTAATATTATATTTCAAAAGTTTCGAAATTTAATATATAATTTTTTTTTTTAATATATTCTTTAAATAATTTAAATATATAATTTATATTTTAAATATATTCTTTACTTTTTGAAATATTCGAAATTTTAATATATATATAAAATTTTGAAAATTTATTAAATTTTCGAAATTTAATATATTATTTTTTTAAATATAAAAAAAATATATATGAAAATGTCGAGAGAGTCCGATAGAAGGTCTGTGAATATGGGCGCCGTGAACCGAAGTTTGAGGAGAGTCAAAGCTAAAGCCACATCCGACGGTTCAACCTCACGCGGTTCTCGAGGAAGACACTTCGTCTCTTCCTTTCATACTATCCCCGATCAATTCATCGGGGACGGTATGACGGATCAAGAATTCGACCACTACATTTCTGGTAGAGGGGACGCGAATCTCCCCACTCTTGATAGTTTATTCGAGGATGTTGATGAAGCAGGACTGGACAATCTGGACGGGGACAAGGAGCCTACACCGCACAGCAACGACGTCGACGAGGAGGCAGGTGAGCCCGAGACCTCTCAAGGTCCGGACAAAGGTAAAAAAAATAAAAATCATATTTATTTGTTTATCATTTTGTAAAAGATACAAAAGATGGCATAGTTTATGGAACTTGTAACTATTGTGGGACCGTCATTAAAATGGGAGTTTCCGGCGGTTATGGTGGTCCAGAAAAACACCTAAGGTCGAGGCATCCCGTGGAGTACGCCAAATACGCAGCGAAAAAGGAGGGACGACAAGAAGTGCAAACCCAAATTTCTCAGTTTGCTAACAGGGGTAAGGGCGGCCTTTTTGCTTATAGCGACGAGCAAAATAAGCAAAAAATGGCCGAAATGATTTGTGAATAAAATTTGTCATACATGTTTTATGAAAAACTTGGATTTATTGATTATTGTCAACAGGCATTAAACCCTCAAGCAAGAGGTTTTTCAAGAAAAACAATTAAACGAGAAATTATTTGCCAGTATAAACTTGAAAAAATAAATTTGGCAAATTTTTTTCTCAATTTTAATTCTTGTGTCGCTATTTGTTCTTATATTTGGGGAGAAACATATCATAATTTGTCTTATATGGGTGTTACTTGTCATTGGATAGATAGTGATTGGATTATGCATAAACGTGTTCTTGCATTTCGTGATTTCAATGATTCTCATACTGCAGAAAATATTTTTCTATTGCTTCAGAGTATTCTGCGGGAATACAACTTAGTTGATAAAGTGTTTGCATTTGGTTTTGATAATGCTACTAATAATACTGATGATATTCCTAGACTTAAAGAAATTTGCCCCCTACTACAACTATGGGTAGATTTCTGCATCAACGGTGTGCGTGTCATGTATTAAATCTATGTGTTCAACAGGGATTAGAAGCTATGGGGGGGTTTTGACGAATATTAAAGATGGAATAAGAAAAATTTGGTGTAGTCGTCTTATTTCGAAGTCCTGGAAGACATTCTGTAAGTCTAAGGGTAGAAGACAAATAACATTTCCCAAAGATATCAACATTAGATGGAATAGTACTTACAAGTTGATAGCACAGATTCTAAGCTACAAAGAGGAACTTGCTGAATTTTTTAGGGATGAACTTTGTATAATCATTTCACCATTGAATTTGTTATTGGTGAAAAATTGAATGCTGTATTAGAAGTTTTTAATAATGCAACTCTTACTTTTTCGCATGTTTACCAACCAACTACAAATACATTTTTTAAAGAGTGCGTTACAATCACAATATGTTTTCGTGAAAGTATGGCAGATCCAGATTTGTACCCTTATGTCTCTCCTATGAGAGATAAATGGTGTGCTTATTATTTGTACATTCCTGATATTTATAAAATAGGTATTATTTGTGATCCACGCTTTAAGATTGAAAATTTTAAAATTCTAATTGACTATTACTACACTTGTTTTTTAGATGAAAATAGTTATTACTACAACCTTTTAATAGAATGGAAAAATGAAAGAGATAATGCTATAACTCTTTTTTAGAATTTGTTTAAGGAATATCAAGGGTTATACGGTACTGTACCAGAAGAAACAACACCTCCTCCGCCCCCCAAATAAAAAAAAAAGGTTTTAAAGGAATAGTCGGTGGGCTTCTTGCAAAGAAAGGGAAGCGTGCTCAGCCTTCAACGAGTTCAAGTGGTACAACTGTAAGCTCGCACAACGAACTTGCTATGTACCAAGGGGTGCCATGCGATTACGACGACGACGACGTGGAGTTTGACGTCCTCGGATGGTGGAAGCGGAACGAACACATGTTCCCATGTCTCGGAATGCTAGCAAGACAAGTGTTGTCCGTCCCGGTATCAACAGTAGCAGTTGAACGAGAATTCAGTGCTCGCGGCAACATTCTAACCGACTACTGATGTTGTCTTAATGCTGAATCTCTTAAACACTTGTTTGCAAACAAGATTGGCTCTTGGCAAGACGTCGAGCTCAAGAGTCAGGATATGAATTCAATTCGGAGCATTACATGAATGCAACCACAGATGGAAGTCCGAGTTCTGAGGAATAAGTTATAAACTTTTTTTATGTTAATGTAAATATGTAATTAGTTTTTTTAGGTGAGCGATATATAAGCTCCTTCCAGGGTTTCTTTACGGTTCTTTACCTCGTCGCTTTTTTTGAACCGTCAGGATATTAAATGTAGTTGTTCTCCAGTTCGTGTATTACTCATTTTACAATATTTAAATAACAACTACATTTTTAGATTTTTTATTTCATTCTTTCCTTTAACAATTGCAAATTTACAATTTTACACTTTAAAAATTTTTAAAAAAAGCAAAAAAAAAAAAAAACTCGGGGTGGCCGAAACCGGCCGGTCTGATACCGGAACCGCCGGTCTGGGTACCGGAACCGGTACCACCCGGTCCGGGTACCGGAACCGGTACCACCCGGTCCGGTCACGGTACTGGTACTAAGGGGTGGCAGTACCGGAACCGGCGGTTCCGGAACCTGAACCGGCGGTTCCGGAACCTGAACCGGCGGTTCCGGAACCTGAACCGGTCCAGAACCGTACCGTGTCCACCCCTAAGCCTGCTGTGTGCCGGCTCGTGTGGCTGGATTTCCGCTTCCTCCTCCCTACGCTACACTAGGGAACTTGTCGGCTCCCTCTTGTCTAACCGGGAGCGCTAGGAACGAGCAGGCTCGACCTTCATTCCCTCTCAAAACTGGGTGAATGCCGTGACATGGGTGGCGTCAGGCCCTAACCTCAACTTGGCGGACATCCACTTCTGTTCTTCACTCTCCCCCAACCTGTCAAAGGCTGAATCCCTTGACGCCGTAGGCCTTGGCGCAATGCCTTTCTTCTTTTTGTGTGTGAGGGATGTCCCACTTCTTGTCCCCCCTCTCGATCGATATGCAATGGTCGTCCAAAGTGCTTTGCAGTTGACACGGTGATCCCACCATGTTCATTGCATCGATCAAGTTGACTGGGTCAACGCGCTGACCACCTATGGCTGGAAGGGAGACGGATGCGGCACCAGGGATGTGGAAGGTGGTGTCGGAGGCATGGGATCCTGCAATGGTACTTGCATAGCGCCTTGCAGCGCGAAGGGGTACATCCCAGGAAGAAAAGGCACCCCTGTTTGTTGGTACGTGGCCATGACATGGCCAAATCCTTGGATCGCCTGCAAGTTAGCAAGGTCGTTGACAAACTACGCCATGCTTGTCGGGAAGGTCACCCTCGGGTTGGCCGAGGGAACAGGGAATCAGACCATCTGTTTGATAGATGGTGCGGTAACAGGGGAGCCATGACCTGGCTGACACCCAATGGGACCACTGCGGTAGAGAGGGTCTGGGAGGCAACAATTGGCGCTGCTATCCCTTTGGTGGTGGCCTGGACCGAGTTGGTGGTGGTGTTCTGCTTGTTGGTTGACATGACTGTTACATGGTGCTTTGTGAGTGAATTTCTTCTTAATAGGAAAAACAAATTCGGTTCCACGAATGACACAAAAAGACAAAAATGATGGTCTAAATTAAACACTCTTATTTTCCAGCCGACACACCTAACATCGACACACCGAGTCAAATTAAAAAAATCTTGCAACCTAAAAGCAACACTCCGAGAGTTGACCCAACGAGGACAAAATAGCCCACCATCCTCGTTCGAAATGCTGGAATCCCAACAACCAGCATTTTGAAGACCAAAAAAACCGATGCCAACTGTCCCACCCACTTCGAGATGCCCAAATACCGATTGCGTTAGCCCTTGAGGCCTGATTCATTCACCTAGGTGGGTGTAATGGAAAAACCAAACACCGAAAGGGAAGGAACTTTTTTTTGGGAGGTACCATTTGCAACCGTACCATTTTGAAAACAACTGTGTTAGGGATATACCAAAAGTGTACTCTAAGTTGTATCCCAAAGAAATATATCGACATTTTAACGGTTCACACGGCCAGAAAATATTAGTTCAATTAAAGAAATTCGCAGTAATATTGTTTGTCAATCACCCTAACATCACACTAGTATTAAATGTTCAAATTTAGGTGTACAAATTTTTCTCAAAAAAGAAAGAGACCATCTCATTCGAGATATTCCTTACTACCCACTAGTGTTTTTGGGAGGGCTGATCTACGAGAATGGTGGTGTCTTCATCTCCGGCTTCTCATTCAGAGAAAGAACTTGAGGAGGAGCTAATACATTATGGTATTAGGCTAATTGCACACCCTTATTCTAATGATGAGCTTCTTAGCATCCTTGACGTAAGGCTTCAATTTTCATGTATTCTATGTATGAAGGCTCAATTTTTTTTATTTGTTTCGTGTTGCGTAGATGGAAAATTTCAAGTTTTGATTCCTAATTGTTTGCAGGCAGTGCCGAATTCGTATTTTGTTTCTGTTTGGAAAAAAATATATTGTTCAAATAAGCATGAGTTTTATAAATGCGCTTATGCATTGATGGGGAAACATGCATACTGTTTGCTTAGAGTTTTATTTGAGTTGCGTTTAAACAGAGCATTGGATAGTATTTTTAGATTAATACCCATTCAATTGTATGAGGTTTGTTTCTAGCTCAAATAGGAGGTTTTGGCGATGTCTTGATGATGTTGTATTTTATTAAAATGAAGTTGCAGCATGATATGTATCCCTTTTAACAGTTAATTGACTAAGTGGTTTATGTGTAATGATGTTCCCATCTTTGAGCTTGGTTGTATTTGTGTTGTTCACTTGCTCAGTGTCTACTCGCACATTGTTAATTTACGCGATTTTGTCAATTTTGATTTCTATTTGACCCAATTTTTTGTTTCTAGAAAGTTGAAACCCTGCTAGTCCGGGTAGCTCAATCCCCGCCTGAGACAATGAAACTTGCACTCCATCCAATAATGAAAGCATTGATTGGCTCAGAGCTTTTGTCACATTCGGATGAAGGCATAATTGTTTCAGTTGCATTGTGTCTCAGTGAAATAATGAGAATAACTGCCCCCCAACAACCATATGATGATGCTGTTATGAAACAAATTTTCCAGCACATTTTAGAGACATTTGAAAAGCTATCGAATATGAAGAGTCACTGCTATTCAAAGTCAGTGCAAATTCTTGAAAATGTTTCAAAGGTCAGGGCATGTGTGATGCTTTTGGACTTTGAATGCGACACCTTAGTTATTGACATGTTCAAACTATTTCTCAGAATCATCAGGTAAGATGAGCTCTTTTGTTACTGTAATAACTAATAAGTGAAGTGGAAGCCCTTCTAGACTTATATATTCTGATCAATATTTTCAAATGCATAAGCTTCTAGCGATACTCTCAGTTCCTATCACTTTGTTTACATTTTCACATTTTGTTTCAAGCTCAAGCACAGAGCTTTGTTGTGCAACTATTCTCTTTTTTATTTGAGACTAATCGGTAGCACCTTGTTTTGTGTTATTTGGGCATATTTTAAGTTGGACCGTGGACGAAACTTAACTTGCTGGTGGTGAATCCCATTGGCAATTGTTCACTGTTATGATTTTAAATAAGTTGTTGGGGGCCATATAAAAGTGCTTTATATTCTGGAATTTTTTATGCTCTAAACCGATTCTAACATAAATCAAAATATATATTGCTCTGGCATTTGAAATTGCTCAACAGTTTTATTGCGCCAGCTTTTTTTGGATAGAAGTTGACAATATTTTTAACTCTGTATTATTTTCTTCCTGATATTTTTAATTATGTATTATTGCTCAAGGTTCTCTCACTCAATTGATGTATTCAAAAACATGGAAGACATCATGATTTGGATAATCAAAGAATGCGATGAAGTTTCCAGGGAGCTGTTAATGTCCCTTCTTGATAGCATCAAGAATGAAAATCAGGCAATAAAGATTTAGTCTGACCATTTCTCAAATGCGGTGTTTTAACTTATCTCTTAAGTTTTAACCCTGACTGTTTCTTTCTCAGAAAGCTTCATTTGCTTCATGGAAGTTGGGACGGAATGTCTTGAAAACATGCTCTTCCATAGTCAGACCTTATGTAGTAGAAGCAGTAAAATCAATGAGCCTGGATATTTCTGGTTATGATGTCATACTTGCCTCAATATGCCATGAAACGACAAATGGAGAAAGTCTGGTAATCATTGTTTATAGCTATTGTTTTCTCACCAACACAAGCGATTTTCCTTTTTCTCTAAGATGAAGTTTATTTCATTCTTATGGTTTGACAAGTCTGGTTTTCTTATAGCGCGGAACATAAATCTCCAACAGTATTTTTAAGTTTGATCTTAGTTTTAACAAGTGCGCGCACGGCGAGTCCAAAAGAAAAAATGCCTTCCTAACTCTGGTCACACCAGGCTCCTGACTCATCGGGACAATTCATCACAGGCGTGAGGCATAAAGTCTTGGCCTCCTCTTGGAATAGGGTTGCTTAGAATCTTCCTCCTGGTTTTTTGTTTAAAAAATAGGCCAATACGTAGTAAGTTTCTTCTTCTGTCTCCTCTTGGAATAGGGTTGCTTAGAATCACCGAAAGTACAAGTTACTTCTCACCCTCTTCTTCTGCCTCCTCTATTAGTAAGGGAGGTTTGTTTTCCTTTGGTTGTTTGTCAGTCCTAGGGCAGCACATGAAGCTTTCTTTTATTCTATGGTTACAGACACATAAATGCATATGAATACTCGCTCCAATATATGATCATATGCACATGTTTGTGTTTGTATTTGGCAATAGAAGTGCCACAAGTTTGTGTCAGACCTTCCAAGAATCTATGAAACTCGATTAAAAATTTATGATCTAGATTTTCCCCTTATGTATCTGCTGCACCCTTGTTTCAATAGTTCAATACCCAAACACGCTTTACAACCGAGTTTTTTTCTTTTCAACTTAGTTTGGCATGTAAATATATTTTTCTAATCATACTTGATGATTACACATTCACATAAATTATAAATTATGAATTGTTTTTGTTTTTCAATACCCCCTCCGTCCTAAAAAAAAGAATTTAGCCTGCACAAGGTCTCTCTCAGCACCCTGTTGTATGCCTTCTCGAGGTCAATGAACACCATATGTAGGTCCTTCTTCTTAGCCCTGTACTTTTCCATCAGCTGCCACAAAAGGTGAATGGCCTCCATGGTCGATCGACCAGGCATGAAACCAAATTGGTTCTCAGAAATGCACACCCCCTTCCGTAGTCTCGCCTCGATGATATACTCCCAAACCTTCATGGTGTGGCAAAGGAGATTGATGCCTCTATAATTGTCGCCACTCTGAATGTCATTCTTACCCTTGTACAGCGGGACCGTCACACTCTCCCTCCACTCATCTTTATGACGATTATAAAGGGATGGAGGGAGTGTATCTTTTATTTATGCTCAAGTTTAGTCAACTCATATAGATGAAATAAGGCACACTAAATGTTCTTTAGGCGGTGAACATGGTCACTGTAGCATTACTCAATGATGTGATCTATCTTCATCAACGGGGCTACCTTTAATCGTCTTGTATTATTGATAAGCTGTATATTCTTTTCTGTTAAGTTCAGTTAATTACCTCTAATATGCATCACATTATTAATTTTACTTGGATGTTTTCATAAATATATATGGCTGTTTTACATAGATTTATAAACCATTTGCAGATAAATGTAACAGATGTATGGCATCATCTTGACATGTTTAAGCTTCTTGTTAATGATAAATCTGACGATACATGTAGTGGCACCCAAAGTGAAATGATTAATTACATGAAATATCATATGAAATCATTCTAGTGTTTGTTTTATATTGGTAACAATTTATACTTTGTATTTCTCTACGTGATCAGATTGAAAATGAGAACACACCCCTCACAGAAAGCCCGGTGGCAATAATGGAATCGCAACAGGAAGCCACTCCAAAACCGGTCGATACAAGTAATGGAAACTTCAAATCTGAAAGTCGATCAAAGACAAGACTCAATTGGGATCAAACTGAGCATCTAAAAGATACTGAGAGTCCAACAGATCTGCAACATCATAGTTTAGAAGGTACACAACCAGGAACAAATCTCAGCGGACGTCCAAGGAGAAGGGTTCAGAAGTCCTTGAGAAAACATGACAACAACTATGTTCATTGTAAAGTCAATGGTAACAAAAATTATTTTGACTTACCTCGTCACATGAAGGATTGTGATTGTCAATTTGTATCTTGTCTCACAATGCAGTTTTGGGGGAGTCATCCTTTCTATCAGAAGATGGAAAGCAGATAATGCCTCATATGCTTTTCCCTGTAAATAAATCTGTGACTACTCCATCAAAAGGTATTGGAAATGCTGATAAAAATTTTAGGAAAATGGGAATGCCAAAGAAAAATCAGGTGGAGCTATCTTCAGAAAAAGGATTTGAAGGGAGTACTACCAAGGCAAAACCTATGAGGGGCTCAATAAAGAAAGAGCCCTTTGTCCATAATAATGCTGAGAATTATCTTGGTACAGACATTGTAATTCACTATTATCATTCTCAAGTTAACGGTAACAAAAATTATTTTGAATTACCTCATGAAATGAAGGAGCAGGAATATTAATTTGTAGCCTTTGTCAAAATGCTGTTTCAGGGGAGTCACCCTTTTTATCAGAAGATGGGAAGCAGACAACGCCTCTTATGCTCTCCCTTGAAATTAAAGGCACTGCTCAACCAGTTACTACTCCATCAAAAGATAGTGGAAATGCTGTTAGAAAATTTAGGAAAATGGGGCGGCCAAAGAAAAATCAGGTGGATCTATCTTCAGAAAAAGGATATGAAGGGACTACTACCAAGGCAAAAATTAAGAGGGGCTCAAGACAAAAAGAGCCAACTGTCCGGTATGACGATGAAAACACTCTTGGCAGAAACATTGAAATTAAAACGGAAGGAGGAGATTGTAGTGCGCATATTTCTTTTCTTCACAAAAATGATAATATCTCTAAGAAGACTGTCAAAACTAACTCATCAGGCAAGAAGGCTATGCGCAATAAAAAGGTAACTTTTTGCTTCATCTTTTTGGCTTGCTAAGTATACAATTATATATAATTACATCCGTTCACTTGTGTCACGCCCTCAAAATGATTCATTCGGAGAGATTTGGGTGCAAAATGATGCATCCACTGCTTTGTCATACTATATGTCATTGAGAAATCAATCATATCCTTTTTTCCCTCCAATTGTACATTTAGAAGCAGCATTTCTTTTATAAAGCTGTCCATTGCAAATGGAGCCAAAGTTGTCATTCTTGGCAATGTTTTAGCTTCTGTTAAATAGCCGACTAAATCAAAATGGCGAATTAAACTTCTCTTACTTTCTATGAAGTTTTGGGAAGAAAATGCAACAATGCATCAAGTGTTACAAAAACAGCCTCTATCTTATTAGTATGGTAAGGTTGTCTTCATTTTGACTCCAGACCCCAAAGTTGGGATTGTACTGGGTTGTTTTTGTTGTTGTTTGATATATTTGATAAATTGAATGAGAATAATCTATAGGCAGTCAAGGAAAATACTTCATAGTTAAGCTTGTATCTTATTGTATTTGCTGATGCTATATCATTTTGACTTGAGTACTAATATTCATTTACAGAGAGCTTATTAGCCTAAACCAAGATTAGGTTTCAAATTTAATTCAGGATACTAAGGTATTTGTTGTAATCAAGGTGGCTCAGGCTGAAGAACTGGCTGGTGCAAAGATCAAAGTTTGGTGGCCTTTGGACCATCAGTAAGTGCTTTGGAGTTTAGAATGATAAATGTCATGTCCAAATGGGACCTGGTCATGACATTTTTCTGTTAAATAATAAACATAGCTTGAAGATCTTTGTGGACTTTATGAGCTTGACCTCTAAGTGCAAGCTAACCAATCCTATGGTGAATATGTGATACTTCTATTTGATTCATAAGCTGGTCTTTTGATTTGTTCTGGCTAACACAGTGGAGAAGTTCTAGTCATCCTAAGATGGGGTATTAGGATGTCTTGAAGATAGTAATAAGAACACTCTTTGCTATATGTTATGTTCATCTTCATTTCTTTGTGTGGTAGGTTTTATGAGGGAAAGGTAGCTTCTTTTGATCATGTGAAGAAAATGCACAAGGTATGTCAATTGACATGCTGTTATTTTAATTATTTCTTCTTCACTTTGAGTGAATAATCTTCCCATTTTGGAATGCCCCAGTATAATGTTAGTATTTTTTTATGTTTACACAAAATAAAATGAAAAGAAGAGCTACTTGGTTGGATACGGGCTTTGCCCCTCTCCGACCCCACCCACCCATTGAAAAAACAAAATTACTTTAAAATATCGACCCGCAAAAAAAACCATTCTATCTGGGTGGTGGATATTTTAAAACAATTTTACTTTTAAGTATCAATTGTATCCACAATTTTGGATAAGCAAATTTTTGATGCAATTGATGATATATACTCCTTCCGTCCCAAAAAACTTTTCCTCTTTCACTTTTTACTTGTCCCAAAAAACTTTTCAATTCAGTCTAAATGGGCATAAATCTAACCTAAGCTACCTCAACTCCCTTCTACACCCTCCCCATTTAGACATTTCCCAAACCCTACTCATTTCAATTATTGCCGTTTCCCCTTGGTCAAACTTTTACAGCTTCCCCTCCCAAAAGTTTGGTGTAATCAAACATCAATTGACGCCGTTTCCCCTAGTTCAAACTTTGCCAGTTATCATTTTCAAAGAAAACGTGTACTTTATTGAATTACACATTATTATGATTTGGTGACTCTGATACACATACTGTTGCACTTTTGTGAATGGCTGTTATTATCGATATAATCAATGAAAAAGGCAGGGTTTTATATTTATGTTTTTTGGGTAACCCAGAAAGTGAGGTTTATTGGTTTGAGATGTTGTAATTCAGATTTCAGAAGCTACTAAAACTACCCAAGTGTTAAATAAAACACGGAGGGATTTTAGTTTATTAATTATAGAGATAACATTATTCGCTCTTCCCTCATTTTCCCGTAGTAATTGTCATAACTCATACAACTAATGGCTTGAGAAATATACCAAATTCATCAATCTGCCTTTCAGCTCCAAAGACATTCTGACACTTTTACCATAAACAATCCCAATTGTTCTACAGTGATGCAGAAAACATGCCCAACTGACATATAAGGTCCAAGCTTAGGCTAATTCCAAATTAGTTTGTTACTTAAGTTTGAAAGTCTGCTTCTTACTCTAAAGGGATTCTAGAAATAGTGCTTAGGACAACATATTAATAAAAATGAGTATTGAAGCCCAGTGGAATTGGAAAGTAATTAGTTACTCCCTCCGTCCTAAAACACACTATAACACACTTTTCCCGGGTTGACCGGGGCTCATTTTTAAGAAAGTGCGAAAAATGCTCTGACTTTCCAAAAATGCCACTTAATTCTTCTTTTCTACAAACACATACCAATCTTCTCAAGAACCTTTCTACTAAATTCTTTCTTATTCATCTCTTTAAATTTCCTTAGGGAAAAGCTCAGATTTCTCCATCCCGATGATCAAGACATCATCATCTTTTCCGTTTACCAAATTTGAGTGGCATGTTGAAAACGGAGAAGGGAGAGGAAGAAATTTGGATGGGAGAGGGTGTGAAGTAAATTAGATGGGTGAGTGGGGGAGTAACTTTTGAGGGGTAGGAATGTTTTTTAATGCTTCAGTACTTTTCATTTTAAGTAATGTGAAGAAAGTTTTATGACGGTGAAAACAGGAAAGTGGGAAGAAAGTTTTTGGACAGGGGGAGTAATTATTGAGTTAATTACTTCTGGAAGCCTTCTGCCTGCTGTTAATAATTTTGATCTCAGAAATTGCAAATTAATTATTTCTTCCGTCAGCTGCCTGATGTTAAATTTAAGTGAACCAATTGGTTTTCACACCTCACCTGAAGTTATCATTTTCTTTTGCTGTTCCTTGGTTGGATCATTTGCGCATGTTTTACTTTTGGGGAAGTGTGTGTTGAGACCTGCGAATCTGTTGCTAGTAGGATCTCTGTGCAGGAGTGTACATATTTCATGGTAACCTCCAAGGACTTCCAGATTTTCCTCATCTAGGGCTCTTTGGGTAGTGATTTTCAAGACCTATTATTAGTCTGGCGAAGTCGAGAAACCAAATGTATACAAAAAAGAGTAAGTACTTCGGACATATATGACTTCAGCATAAAATTATGTTTCACCAACAAATCCCTACACCTTTTTCACAACTACAATTTCCCAGGAATTTTTTCAAAACATAGTCTCTTTGCCTATGGATGCCACTTTATTTTAGTTCAAGCCTCAGTAAAGAGGAAAAGAGACGATGAGATGTGGACCTTTTTTAGCTACGCATCCCTTAGAAGAGAGCTTACATTTGTTTGACATTTTGTAAAATTGTTGTAGGCTTGTAGAAGTTGTAGACTTGTAGCAACTGTCATCCTTTTATTGCTAGTTTGCTACCTGTAAGTAGATTCATCTGTTAAACTCTCGCGTGTTCCACTCCCTCGTGGTGTTACTTTTGTAGGTTGTATATGATGACGGTGAAGAAGAAATTTTGAATCTTGGCAAGGAACGGTGGGAAATGATTAAAGAGCTTCAACCTGATGAAGTATGCTATACTTTTCTTATAGTGTATTTTTCCCTTTTGTAAATTATGGGCTTTTCTTTTGGTAGTTAATAATATAATATATTCGAATCATAATTCCTTTGGTTCACAGGACTGTGAAGCAGCTTCTCATGTAACTCCTGTTTCATCAGCTATGTAAGCTATGTATAAATATTTTGACCCACTTCTCAGTGATGTGCTTGTGGGTGTGGACATGCCCTTCTAGTTTCTCCCTTATATTTTTTTAGTTACTTCCACCCTTTTTTTGACATATCCTGTTCTGCATTAACACATCTTGTAAGCTAGGAATCGTAAGATGCACATTAACTCTTGGGAGGCAGCGTTCCCACTTCTTGAGAATTTCTAGGATAACTATTTCCTAAATTGGAAGATAATGTTTCTCACTCTCAGTGTCTTTAGTTGTTACGTTCCATGCAATATAGCTTAGAAGCATTTGAATAGATTTAGTATTACATTCCATACTCATCCTGCTAATAATTTCTGGTTTTTGAATGGTGAATTAAATCAGGGAGGTGAGGAAAAAAAGAAAAGGGAAATCTCCAAGAGAACAAACCAACAACATTTCAGAGACAAAAAGGTTGGTGGGTTTAGCTCCAGCTGTCTGAAGAACAGCTCTGAATTTTGGTACTCTTTATTACAAACGTGTGCCGTTGTTCTTCAGGTCTAGACGCAATGTGAAACAACTCACTACAGTTAAATTCGAGCAGAACAACACAACGAGGCAAGATGTGCTTGTGGAGGACGAATAACCATTGTTCTTAAACCCCTAAACACAAAAATTTGGTGAGAATGGGTATGTAAACTCCTTGTTCTTTGTCTTGCATTGGGCCTGTGAATATTCTTGATTTCGCTGTAGGGGTATTCTTGTTTAGTTTGAGTTGACACTTGAAAGATAGCATTCTGTTATTTTAGCGTGGTGCTTCAAGCTATTCTTCAAATATATCATAAAGGTATAAAATGGATTTGAAATTTAAGGGTACCTGTAAGCTAGTAATGTTAACAGGGCATCTTGCCAATGTGTATTCGCTTTCTTAGGTATGGGACACGGTTCCCATGGACTCGCGACACCTACCCTTATAAAGAGTACATAAGCAATTTTTTTTTAATGCTATTGACTCTATTCCAAGGTAGTATTTGTTCATACTATTCTCAATCTAGTGACGCATAAAGAGCCAATGCTTCCGATGGGGCTCGAAACTAGGTGAACTTCCGCATGAATCCTGGGGACTGGACTTGCTACCACTCAAGCCAGGTGAGAAGTTTAAAGGGTACACAAGTAATTTGAAATACACAATACTTCAAAATTAAAATCAGGACAAGTTACCAAGTCGAACCTTCCGCCACTCAAACCTTGATCAGTATTTCAGTTCAAACTTGACTATATCGTGGTGAATTGGTGATGTGAGATACTTGCTCTATAAGCCATGTATCAAAAGAAAGTTAGAAAAAGAATTTCTCGATCATGTGGGCTTTATAGTATTGATTTTCATCGTCATTGGGGTCCACGTTGATATAGATTATGCGTATTTTACTATCAAAATTCTGAAAAAATTCAATTTAACTTTGATGATGACTATGTACTCCGTAGTATGTAGAGCTTCATTTTTCTCAATGAAAAGGGTATTTGTTGGCTTGTAGAAAGGACTGAAACAGTTCTGTGTGTGATTGGATTTTATAGTAGAAACGACTAGCTTGGAAGTAAGCTAAGAAATGCTCGTAACAGGTCTAAGGCACATGTGGAGGGTATTTCAATAACAAAGGCTTAACGACTTGTGCTAGAAATGTTCTAAAGACACACCTATAAGGAAATGACTAATCCAATGTGTTTGCAATGCTCATAAGATAACGATGAGAACGGGAAGGATGTTGATGTAAAATGTTATCTAAGTATGATTGGTTGTTTACTTTATTTATTTACTAGTAGATCTGATATTATGTTTAGTATTTGTATGTTTTCAAAATATAAAGCGTTCCCCAATGAATCTTATTTGAGTGATGTCAAGTGTATCCTTAAGAATATAAGGAAATTTAAATTGGGGATTAGGTACCAAAAATTCAACATGCTCCCCCTTGTTTGGTATTCATATTCTGGTTTTTTTGGATGCAAAATGGATAGAAAGAACACATCTTGTATATGTCGCCTTTTCAATTGTTTACTTGTTTTTAGGTTTAGTTAAAAACAAGTTAGTGTTGCTTTATTCAACCTCGAGACTGAATAAGTAGTTGTGTGTAGTAATTGTTGAGCTCAAATTATTTGGATGAAACAATAATTGTTGGACTATGGCTTGTACATATCACATTCATATTCAGATTGATAATATGAGTGCCATAAGTATTTCGAAGAAACACGTTCCTCATTCTCATACTAAGCACACAAACATTTGTCAACATTTTATTTCAGACCATTTCTAAAAAGATGATGTCACTATATAATTTGTCGACACAACTAAGGCCCCGTTCCGTTCAACTTATTTTTTCTTATTTTTTCTTATTCTTATTAAAATCAAATCAGATCAAATCCAATCAGATCAGATTAGAATGAATAAGATAAGATCAGATCCAATCAAATTCGATCATACCAGATTCAATCAGATCAGATCCAATCAGATTAGACCAGGCATGACCAGATCCCATAAAGTATTATTATTATTATTATTAATACTCCCTCTGTCCGGAAAAAATCTTCTCGTTTCTCCTTTTTCCCCGTCCGAAAAAAATCTTCTCATTTCAATTTTTAACCCCAATCCTTCCAAAAATACCCTTTTCATTAAATTCTCAATTACTCCCTCTCATAAATTTTTAACCCCAATCTTCCCCTCTCCCCTTTCTCTCTCCTCCCATAAATCCTCACCACACACCTAAATCTTATCTTTCTCTCCTTCACTTTTTCTTAGTCCATTCGTTCTCCTCTCTTCTTCTTCCACTTTTTTCTTCTTTTTTTCTTGTCTCCTTCCCCTCCCTCCCCCCATTCTTCTTTCTTTTTATTTTTCTTCTTCTTCTTTTTTCTTCTTCTTCTCTTCCCAAAATTCTTCTCTTTACTCTCTTCCACATCTACGATAGATCTGTACTAGATCTTCTTCTCATCTTCTTCCCTTCTTTTTTCTCTTCCCCTTTTCTCTTTCTCCTGGAGGAGATGGTGGCGGGCTGGCGGCTAGGGATCGTGCGACTGATGGTGATTGGTTACGTCGGGGCTGAGGGGCGATTGTGGTGGGGGCTGGGTCAATTGTGGTAGAGGCGACGGCAACAGTGGTGGTTGGGGCTGGGTCAATTTTGGCGGAGCTGACGGCGACGATGGAGCCGGGGTTGATGGCGGTGGTGGGTGCTAGCCCTGGCAGAGATCAGGGGAGGGGAGGGGAGGGCAGGGCTGGGATTTTAAAACATGAAAGAAATGAAGGGTATATTGGACATTTCACTTCCAAAGTCAACACTTCAAAAAAATGAGAAAAAGTCCAAATGGGAAGATTTTTCCCGGACGGAGGGAGTATTATTATTATTATTATTATTATTATTATCATTATTATGATTATTATTATTATTATTATAAACTCAAATCAAATTATTGATTTGAATTTTAAATCAAATCATAATTAATCAGATCAGATCCAATCAGAGACCAGATCAAATCAAATCTAATCAGATCCAATCAGATCCAATCAGATCAGATCAGATCAGAACTACAAAAAATCAGTTCAGATCAACAAAATAAGTTGAACGGAATGGAGCCTAAATAGTTGGCCGACATTTTATTAAGACCATGAGAGTTTCATTAGAATTAGAAAATAGAAACGCACTAGAAATTATTTCAATTTTCTAAGAACTTTTATCTGTGTAGCTTATTACTCCTTTCGTCCAAGTTGAAACTTCCCGTTTTAGCTAGGGGTGGGCAAAAAAACCAAACTAGCATGGTACCATACCAGACCGTAATGGTACCGAACCGTTTATAGTGTTTTCAAACGGGACTGATTTTTTTCATCACGAACCAAAACCGAACCGATACTAAATGGGACAGGACCGTGATACAAATATTTAAAACCGATTATCACGGACCGAACCGTCCAACGCTATATACGGAGTACGTATCTCAAATAATTATGAGGTATTTGTCTACTTCATCTTACCGTGTATAGAGTACTTCATATTTTATTATTCATTTTTAAACTCTCTCATTATCATTGTTGTTATTATATTTATCATTACTATTGCCATTATTTTTTTATAGTTATTAGTCTTCCGATATTATATAAATTGGAAAAAAAATTATTTTTTAACTTTGGACTTGTTATCTTTTATTTTTTATGTTTATGATCTGTTTAAATTTGAGATCAATACTTTATTTAACATTCTTGTTTTTTATACAAATTTATACATTAAATTCAATATTCTTTAAGTAATGTACGTTCATTTTTTTGGCACGGTTTGAGCATGGGTATGGCATTGTACCGTTCCGTTTCAAAACGGAATGGTACCGAATAGTTTTGGAGTTCATCCCGTACCGATACCGAACCGTTTAAATAATAGCGGTCCGTGATAGGTTCCGGTAGTATCACGGACCATCACGAACCGCGCCCACCCCTAGTTTTAGCTTGCGTGACTTTTAAGATGTACTCCGTATGTAATGAAAATGTGTTGACTTTCCTAATTTTCCCTTTCATTTACACTATGTTTGGTTCAAGGTATTTGAAATGGAAACGAAAAGAAAATGGGATGGAAAATAGTTTTTCTTGTTTGGATAGAGAGGAAAAGAAAAGAAAAGTGGAAGGAAAAATGAAATGAGAAGACAAAATATACTAAGGGGAGGGAAAATCAAAATCCTTCCATTTTGGTGAGGAAAATGAGAGAAAATCATTTTCTTTTCTTTTCCTTTCAAAATCTTTGAACCAAACATAGTGTTATTTTATCTGTTCTCCAATTCTTTCGTTTTGAAAATGCCCGGATCTGAAAGCTTCGACGTGGCCCATTCGCATTTGCCCCTTCGCTGCTGGATCTTGAAGCTTCGCTGATGTCCTACTTCACTCTTTCAAGAGAGAGTAAATGGATAGAAATAGAAGGGGTAAAAAGGTCATTGTAAAAGTTTTATTTCGATTTGAGGAACAGAAAGAAATAAATGGGGTTGCTAACAGGGAAAGTAAGAAGAAATATATGGGACATAGAGAGTATTAATTTATTTCTAAAGAAATATAATGTTACTGACCTTAAAATTAGAGCAGTTTGAAATCTTTTTTGCAGGACCCAACTCCACTCACTTTTCATATCCTCACAAAAATGATGCATTTCCTAAGGAGTAAATTTATAGTTTCATTCGGACGTGTTGCAAAAAATTTTTGAAATGAATTTTGAGAAACTTGGATTTAAACTAATCTGATCTGAACTTATCTGATTTTATCAGCTTATATAATTTGATTTGAACTTATCTGATTCATAAGAATAAGTAATAACAACAACATTACCCCAGTACCTCAACGGCTCTCGCCCATTGTGGGGTAGGGGGGGATGTACGCAGTCTGACCCCTATGCTTAAAACATAGAGCGACTGTTTTAGATGACCAATGATGAGCGTCGAAAGTTGCATTGACCAACTGCTACTTCACAATCGTAAAAAGCGCAGACAGTAAAGAGTCAATTTGCTTTATTCCATCATACCCCAAAGCCAAAAATAGTGAATCTTTGGCTCCACAAGTAAATAGGAAAAAAATAAGAATAAGTAATAAATAAAAAAATAAGCTGAAAAAAATAAGCTGAACAAAAGATGACCTTATGTGTGAATCTAAAATTCCTAATAATAACCATATTTAAGTCTTCCACATGCATATGGACATTGTCTCAACTATTGATGGCATTTCTTTGATCTCCGATGCCTATGGAGTTTAAATTTGGAAATGGAGACAATGTCGAAGTTTATCTGTCTGATGAGGAGAATATGTTCCTTGGAGTACAAAAAGAGCATGCTTTGGTGTTATTATTGT